TGTACTGTATGATTGCCTCACTTGCCCGTCGGCATCAGCACGGAGAGGCGTCGATTGTTTTCGATGCAGCCGCGCTTTTGGCGCTGCGCGGCTAGCTCTCTCTCCCTCCCTCTCTAGAGGTGCCCTGCGCCGCGATCGCAGCCGAGGGTGCGCAGGCGAGTTCGAGGAGTCCTAGGAAGATGGAGTCTTTGCTGACGTGGGCGTTGGACATCGCTCATCGAACATCATGGTGGATGAGCTGTGGCCTGGCCAGGGGCGTACACGCGTGGGTGTTTAAAGAGCTGATCGTTTGGGGGCAATCAGGGAAACGTCCGTGATGTTTGGCAGATCGCCTATTCCCTGCCAGCACCTGGGGGTTCGATTCTATGTTCCTCGTCGCGGATTTTGTCCCCGCTGGCACCCCGCAAGCAGGGGCACCTGCATGCGTGGTGGGTGGTGGCGGTGACATAGGCCCATGGTCATCCTAATGAAACCGTTTTCCTCCGCGAACGCTCTCATACGGCTTCCTTTCAATAGTGCACGTCTCAACGAAACTAAAATTGTGTATGGACTTCTGCGGCGGGAACTTGGAAGGAGGGCTTATTGCAAAACCGTTGATGCGTCTTCGCCTTGTACGCGTCCTTGAAGCTCCTCTTCCTCCTTATCGCGTCCAGCGAGCTTCGGTCGTCCAGCGTAGTTACATCGCTGGGGTGCTGGTGGGGTGTCTGCGGCGGAGAGGCATATTTCTATGAGATGGCGCTTCGACGTGCTGGGCGCCAACTCCGAGGCGGTGTAGGGCGTGCCGGCCAGCTCCACCGCGGAGGTCTCTCGAAGCGGCGGCTGGAAGATCAGGGGGCGGGCCTTTTGCCCCAGAGCTGCGGTGCTCGCTGGGCTTCCCCGACCAGCAGCACGATAGTTTCAGCCCGTGGAAGGTTGCACGGGTTCCCTCCTTTTTTGTCGTCGTGCGAGGCCCCACCCCTTGGGCTCGCCAGCGGCAGAGGCATCGGGTACGCCCGTCCACGCCGTGACTCCGTGCCTGGTGCTCGCGCCGCCGCCCTTCGCGCCCGCGAGCCTTCGCACCTTCCTCCTCCTCCCTTCTCCCTCCTCCCTCCTCCTCCTCCTCCTCCTCCTCCTCCTCCTCCTCCTCCTCCTCCTCCTCCTCCTCCTCCTCCTCCTCCTCCTCCCTCCTCCTCCCTCCTCCTCCTTCTCCTCCTCCTCCTCCTCCTCCTCCTCCTCCTCCTCCCTGCCTCCCTCCCCCCTCCTCCTCGTCCTCCTCCCTCACCCCTCCTGTTCCTTCCTCCCGCCTCCTCCCTCTGCTCTTCTTCCCTGGCTCACTGCCCCGTTCTGCCTTGGGCTCCGTCTGCCCGTGCCCGCGTCCTGGCCGCTTGCCGAGCTCGGCTTGCGCCCCGGCCCTCTGCCCGTCGCGGCGGGATCTGGCACCACGGCGAGCGCAGGCGCCCCGCCGCCTACCTTCGGCCCCGTGCGGCACTCCCAGACACTGTGCTGTGCAGAGCACGTGCTCTTCCTCCGCCTCGCTCCCACCCTCCTCCCCTCCCGCGTTCCCGCCGCGTCCTCCCTCCGGCCTGCTCTCTGCCCCCTGTATTCTCTTTCCCGCTCTCTCTCTCTCTCTCTCTCGCTCTCTCCTTGCCTTTTACCCCTGTCTCCCCCCACCTCCATTCCCTCCCCATCGTCGCCGTCAGGCAAAGGGCATGGGCGAGTATGTGAGGGAGTTCCGATTCCTGGAGCCCGTGGTGTTGCACAGCGTTCAGATCGTAGACAGGCCGAGGAGGAGGAGGAGGAGGAGGAGAAGAGGAGGTTGAAAAGGAGGAGGAGGATGAAGGAGGGACAGGAAGAAGGAGGGATGGCAGGATGAGGGATGACCGATGAGGGACAGGCCCAAGCGGCCCATCCCGGACCAGCCTTCCTTCGAGGGCAGGACGTTCCCGGACGTGAGAACAATGTCGCTCAGCGTCTACGCATCCGACAGGACGGGGTCGCTTTCTCGTCCCCTCCCCGCTCCTTCCTCCTCCGCCTCCTCGGTCCCCTCTCCTCCTCCAGATCCTCCCCACTCCTCTCTTCTACTCATCTCCTCCCGCCCTCCTTCCTCCCTTGTCCCCTTCCCCTCCTCCCTCCTCCCTCCTTTCTCCCTCCTCACACCCAGAGGAGCTGGGCGGGGATGATGATTGGGGGGCGCCGCCTTCTGAGAAGGCCTGCCTCCTCTCACTTCCCTCCTCGGCGCGCCGTCGAGTGTGGTCTTCGGGTCGTGGCTCGGGTCTCTGGCGGCCGCTCGGGACCAACTGGGCACCCCTGGACGCCTCTCGGCGAGGCGCGGCCGCTGGAACGCATTCCGAGGCCAGAGCACCGCCGAGAGCCGATGAAGAACTCCCATCACCTCCGCCCTCCCACTTCCTCCCTCGGCTCGCCGCCGAAGGGTGAAGGAGCGGCCCCCAGGAAGTCGTCGAGCTCCACCATGTCGCGCATGCGCGCGGGGGACGCGCCCGGCACCTTTCTCGCCACGGAGGCGGGGTGGTCGCCCGGGCCCGCCTCGCCGCCCTCCCCTCTCTGATGGCCGCCCCATCTCGTCGTTCCTCGGCGAAGGAGGAGGAGGAGGAGGAGGAGGAGGAGGAGGAGGAGGGGGAGGGGGAGGGGGAGGAGGAGGAGGAGGAGGAGGAGGAGAGGAGGAGGAGGAGGAGAGGAGGAGGAGGAGGAGGAGGAGGAGGAGGAGGAGGAGGAGGAGGAGGAGGAGGGGAGGATCTCTCCTCCACCCTCCAGGGCCCCTTTTGATCTGATCGACCTGATTCGATATCGATTTCGGCCGACCGGATCCGATTCTGATCCGATGTTCCGACTGTCCAACTGCTCGCATGGCGTCGTTGAGCATTTTGGCGCGGCCGATCCGATTCGATTCCGACTCCGTGCCGATGCGGCATGATTCGATGTATATTCCGATCCGATCCCGATGTTCCGATGCTGACTGATCTTACCCTCCACTGCCTGCAGTGGCTTCATGAGGAGTCCAAGGTCGCTTGCTGGCATCCTTCTTCAGCTTTGCCCGAATGTCAGCTTGTGATGATTAAACGATCCCCCCGTCGGGGCTGATGAATAGACCTCGGGGGCCGCGAAACATTGTTTTTGTGACACGCGCGCCAGAGGGTCGTCGCGGGCGCCACCGAGGGGATCCTGTACACCCCTGCACGGCAGCCTCAAAATTATTGTTTTCCCTGTAGAAGTTGTTCTAGGGATCGTGAACATCCGAGGCGAAGTTTTCCCCCCTCTCAGGCTGATTGCTGACGTGCCGCAGTCGTCGTCGCCGTCGTCGTCGTCGTCGTCGTCGTCGTCGTCGCCGCCGTTGTCGTCGTCGTCGTCGTCGCCTTCCTCGTCCTCGTACTCGTCGTCGTCATCGTCCTCGTCCTCGTCGTCGTCGTCGTCGTCGTCGTCGTCGTCGTCGTGGTCGTCGTCGTCGTTGTCGTCGTCGTCGTCGTCGTCGTCGTCCTCTTCCTCGTGCTCGTCCTCGTCCTCGTCCTTGTCCTCGTCTTCTTCGTCGTCGACGTCGACGTCGACGTCGACAGCGGGCTTACGCAGCACCCCCCCTTTGGGGCATCCGATGTGCGTCGTCGACGATTACAGCGGGCATGGGCACCACACCCGACCCCTCCTGGAGCATCCGCAGTGCGTCGTCGTCCGCCGTCGCCGTCGCCGTCGCCGTGGCCGTCGCCGTCGCCGTTGCTGTTACCGTCGCCGTCGCCGTCGTCGCCGTCGTCGTCGTCGTCGTCGTCGTCGTCGTCGTCGTCGTCGTCGTCGCCGTCGTCGTCGTCGTCGTCGTCGTCGTCGCCGTCGTCGTCGTCGTCGTCGTCGTCGTCGTCGTCGTCGTCGTGCCGTCGCCGTCGTTGTCGTCGTCGTCGTCGTCGTCGTCGTTGTCGTCGTCGTCGTCGTCGTCGTCGTCGTCGTCGTAGGACACATTGTAGTGGAGGGGGGGGGAAGGGTGGAAAAGGTAAAGGAGGAACCCTTTCCGCTTGTCTCCGCCGCTCATCCCCCCTCCCCTCTATTTCGTTAGCAGCCATGTCGGCAGCGCCCGCCAGGTGAAGTGCCTCTTCTCCCCGCCTCTGCCTTCTCTGCTGTCTGTAGCCGTTTTGGCTGAAGCGCTCCGCTATAGCGCATGCGCTGCTGTCCCCCTCCGCTGAAGCGGCGCCGCTTGCGTCGCGCCTGTCGTACTCTCTCTGGCGGCAGGGCTTCGGCGCAAATCACCGGCGCCGCTGCCCTCCCCCCCCCGCGATTCGCCCGAGCAGGGGAACCATTTTATTAATCACGCGCCCCCCCGTGTTTTTGATAATCACAAGCGGACAGTCGTGTCCTTAAGTGGGTACTTTCATGGTGCGCCCCCTCATGCAGTTACCAGCGCGGGATTGCATAGTGCAGGCGTTGCGTTCGCCGATCCACCCAAATTTCATTCGGGATCAGACGTGGGCCACCGACCAGCCGACCAGTCGCCCCCCCCCGAATGCATTTTTTCCCGCAGGTTCCAGCAACAATTTCTAATTCGCGCCGTGTTCGCCCCTGCCAGTCTCTACAGTTGCTCGTATACAAGAAAGTGCCACTCATCGTCCGCAGCCTGAATACCCTTATGGTAAACTTCAGGTAGTCGCTAACGCTCTGTTTCATGGTTGCGCTATCCGTACGGCAAGACCTGAGTTTGCACCCGTCTCTTCTCCTTGTCCCATCTCTCCTCTCCCATTTCATGTCCTCCTATTTCTCCCTCCATCTCTCTTTTGTTCCCGTTCCGTCGCATTATTATTCGTTCCTTTCCTTTCCCTCCCTTTCCCCATCCTTCCTTTCCCTTCCTGTGTAGATCGCTGCTGACACATTCTTTGCGTATGAGCGTTTAACCATGTGCCTCGTTGTCCTTCACTCCCAGAGTCTGCACCCAACAGTGTGCACCGTTGTGGTCAAAACAACAACGGTTTCAACATTGGTATAAGCGGCAGACATCTGAACTGATGGCTGCATTTAAACGTTATTGTAACATCCACGATGGGCTTCACACTGCAATGCTGCAGTCTGTCCAGCATTGGACGGGGCAAAATACAACCCACCATAGTGACGCGTAAGCTCCGAAGCAGCAGTGTGAAACTGTGATCACAAGCCCCCTCCCCTATCCTCTTTTTCTCCCTTGGCCCTCATCCCTCATCCTGCCCCTCTTCCGTTTCCGTCTCCTTCTCCCCCTCCTCTTCACCATCCTCTTCTTCCTCCTTTTCCTCCTCCTTCTCTATGCCTCCGCGGGTCGTGCAGTAGACGCAAACCGGTCCAAACGAGGCCGTTCTGGGGCGGACGAAACCAACGGTCCACGCCTGAAGCGTGCCGAGGGGGCGCCAAAAACACGCAAGTGCAGAGGAGAAAAGTCCGGGCAGACACGCGGGGGCGCGCGGCCCGCGGGCAAGAGGGGGGCGAACCCGGGGAGGGAGGGAAAAAGGGAAACCAGGAACGGGAAGAAACCGAAGCGAAGCAGTGGCAGGGGAGGAGGAGCCAGCCAGCGAGGAAGAAGGAGGATAACAAAAAAAAGTGGCGAACAGGAGGGAACAAAAACGAGAAAGAGGGAACACGAAGGGCAAAGAGAAGGCGCCGAGCGGAAGCGAACGCGACGACCGACCGGGGGCAAGGGCGACAGCACGACACGACGCGGCACAACGACGACCCGACACAACGACACGAAAAGACACGACACGACGCACGACACGAACCGACGCTCTTCCTCCTCCTCCTCCTCCTTCTCCTCCTCCTCTACCTCTTCCTCTACCTCTTCCTCTTCCTCTTCCTCCCTCCCTCCGTAACCATTTTGGCTCAAGCCATTTCCAGGTTTCGAGCTGATTGCTTTCTTTTTGGACCGCGCACTTGGAAGTGGCGCAGCGGTTCAAAGCCAAACCCACGAGAACCCGATGAGTTCGGATGCCGCCTCCTATTCGAACAAGACCTAGGTCTGTTCTCGGAAAGGATGTGGGTTCGGCAATTTCATGTGGCGCAACCAGTGCCGTGACTGTGGTCAACGGGCGCCCCAGCGAGTGCTCAAGCAGTTGCGGTTTCCTGACAGTTCCGTCCCGTGGTCACCACCGCCTCCCCGAGGCAGTTGGGCCAACGGACCGCCGAAGGCCGCACAGACCCCTCCCGCTCACAAGGAGCTGGTCGTGCGCGCCATCAATGAGTTTGCAGCGAGTTCGGGCAATGATCTCTCAGAGCTGCTTCGGCATGCGGCAGCTTCTCCTCCTGAGCCGCAGCCGCAGCCTGCATACCTCTCCTCCAAGAACCTCCTGCTCCAGCGTCGCTCAAAGAAGGAGAAGCAACTCACAGCTGCTCAAGCCCGCGGGGCTGCCTGCCGCGATGCTCTCGCCCAGGCCCAGAAGCAACTGGATGATGCCAATCAAACCATCGCTGATCATGCGGAGTTTCTTGCCAAGATCGAAGCCGCGATCAGAGACGCTCAGGCCAAGGCCTTCGTGCCAGAGGTCAAGGATGAAGATGGCGATGACCCCGCAGCCACGGTCGCCAGCCTCGAGACCCTCTCGGCCCTGCTGGGCAAGGCTGCCACCCGCTTCGGTCTTGACTTCACGGCCCAGTCGGAGGTTGTCGGCGCCAAGGCGCAGGAGGCCAGGGCCAAGCTGCAGGCTCGCGCCCCTCCAGCCCCTGCTGGGCCTCCAGGTGCTGCTCCTCATGGTGCTGGGGCCGCTGCTGCTGCTGGCGGAGCCCCACCAGGAGACAGCCAATATGCGACCATGTCTGACGTCGGTGCCAAGGTCGAGTTCGATCCCGAGGGCGACGAGGTTACCACGGCGTTCGCGGCAGCTGGGTTTGATGTTGCCGCCGGCAGCGCCAAGTTCAAGCGCCTGTTGGAAGCGCTCGGCTTCACGGCGGCCAAGAGGACACGGTTGGGGTGATGACCTTCAGCTTGGCTGGGCGGGCCTCCAGCAGCCGCGGCACGAGGATGCCGCGGTAGATGTCTCCGCCAAGCTGGAGTTGATGTCAGTCAAGTCTTCGCAGTGGTCAACTTGTCAGGCGCTCATGGGGTGGCTGAAGTATGATCAGGACTCAGGTGTCCCGCATTGCCTCTGCCTCCAGGAGCACAGGATCAAGCAGGACGGCCTCTGGAGCCCAGCTCGACGCTGGGCGGCGCAGCGTGGGCTGGGCATGCACGGTGGCAAGGCGGTGAGTACTGGTGACGGGGTGTTCAGTTCTTCTGGAGGTGTGGCCGTTCTCTCGCGGCTGCCAGCTGTAGCTGAGGCTCAGCTGGCCACTCCTGGACCCTCCGACCCAGCGTGTGCACGCGGAGAAAGTGAACATCGGCCTGCCTGTCCCGCTCTACGTCATCTCCCTGCACCTGGTCACGTCCATTGGGCTCGCCAAGGCCAGCCTGGACATCCTGGCGGCGCTGGTCGTCCACCTGGGGGCTTGCGTGCTCCATGGGTTGTCTTGGGAGATTGGAACATGTTGCCTGCGGAAGTTGAGAGCTGGGCAGTCAGAGTTCACGGAGTTGTG